TTTTTGCATCTTGCATTTTAAGAATTGCCTCTGCAAGCCATCATCAGTAACTTTGTTGCACATATGCAGTAGCCATATTCAGACTTCCGAATTCACCTAGTCATGAAATGTGAAACTGCTTCTGAAAAAATACCTTTTTCTTTTTCCTCTTCTGCTGGAATCTGTTCTTCAGGGTGTTTGGATTGGCATGTTGCTAGGAACACTTCTTCAAACTGTTGTACTTGTTGTCATAACCTGGAAAACTGACTGGGATAAACAGGTAATCTGGTTTGCAAAGTCTAAAACATTTTGTTGTATAAAATTTCATCTAATATCCAACTTAACAGTTTTATGTTATGTTATCTGCAGGTGATCTTAGCTCGTACCCGTGTTAATAAGTGGTTCGTACCAGATTCCAAAGAAGAAAGCGGCAACACAGAAAATGGTGCCTGAGGAGCAAGCTTCTTTTCTTCCTAGTGGATTTAGATTTTTGTTGCTATAATTTCTCGAAGCCAGTGACTAATTCACTGCTGGGAATTTGACTAACTATTTTTGGAACTCGTTGCTGCAACTATATATACTAAAATGCATTCCAACATTCGATTCATTAGTTAGTAGATGATATCTTGTCTAAAAAGCAAGATTTAAATTCCCTTTTCTCTGATTAAAAACAAAAAAAAAAATACATACCAAAATGAAATGGCTGCAGATTTCCTAAGCTCTTGGTATTATTACGCGTTACTGCCTAGTGTTTTCTGCAATGTCCAAAGCGTAAATTGAAAGTGCCAATCAGTTGTAAATGGAAAAAAAAAATCTATATAAAAGGAAGCCTTCTGCAAACATATTTCAAATCAAATGCTTCCCATAACTCAGGGGAGAAAGGTGATAAGCTACACTGAAGCAATGATGATCATCTTCCAAGCAATTAAACAACATAAAGGAGGACCCTTTCAAGTAACTTGACTGTAATTCTTTTCTTTTCACTACACTTGACAATGATTCTTCATCCCCACCCTCAAAAAAAGATGTACTAGGTACTATTTTCATGTCTTGTTTCTTGGCATGAGTAGTATTTTTTTTCTTATTCCTTTTCGGACTTCGAGCTGTTCTGCGAATAATTACGTCATCGAGATATGAATTTGTGATATGAGGATCTCTGCTCTGCTACATCCAAGGCACTTGTAGCAACTGTTTCACCTCGATAGCTGCATTTGCACTGTAGCTTTTCTATCTTTTTGTATAGTAGCATTTTCCATTCCATTTTCCCTCTTACTCTATGCTGAGTAGTCCAGAAAGTAGACATAAAATAGTGAGCAATAATGCTATATTTTATGCTGCTTTCAATTGTCAATTTCAGCAAACTTCTCTATCAATATACAATCTATTGGTTTTTTTTTTTCATTTACTTACTTTGGCTTTTTTTAGCAACATAAGAAAAAAAATAATTCAAGTTGAGAATATTCTCTTACAATAATTTCTAATAGCATGTTGTGTTTAACCAAGAGTATCTTATAAATTAAATAAATTACTGATAATAATGTTAAAGTTTCATCTGATTAAGACTGTTATTTTTTATTTTTTGTTATTTGTTTTTAATTATTTAATTATTTTTACTTTGTCCTTTCTATTTATTTTTTTTGCAAAAAAAAAAATGTAGAAGTAGAAAACAAAAGAATCAATTAGGTAGAGTCTAAATTTCTCATCTGTGATTTCATTTTTATATGTGGATCACGTGTCAAGTCACATGGTTCTTTGTATAAAAATTAACAAAAAAATCTCTCTCTCTCTCTTTCTCCTTCTTCACTCTTTCTTAAATACAAAAAAAAGCAAATTACCTAAAACACCTCTTGAATTATTTAAAAAATTTTAAACAAATTATTTTTTTATTGTTTATGAGACAAATTATTATTTTAGTTTTTATAAAGTTTTATTTTTTTCTATAATGTTAAATTTAATTATGACCAAGAGTTTCTTTCTATAATTTTAATTGAGTAACTAGCTTGAGTTTATTATGGATAGTGACATGATATATTGATATAATGTAAAAACATGATCATGTGGTATTTTTTATTTTATTTTATGTCTGTGATAATTAGATATAAAATTAATAAAAAATTATTTTGATTAACGACAATCAATCATTAATAATAAAAACTTATTTGATTCAAAATAAAAATACATCAACTTGATTAAACATAATAACATAATAAAAAATTATTTAAATTTTCTTAAATAGATCCATAGCTTTTTAAAGCATTTCATTATATTTTATAATTTAAAATTCCAAAATTATTTTTTGTAACAATAAAAAAAAACCTATTCTATAATGTAAAGCTTGCATGATTTTACATATTTTCTCTTCATTCCTTGACTGTTATTGCAAGCCTACCTCTGGTCCCCCCACGAAATTAGAAATCAAACCCTCTTTCCGTCGACCAGGACGAGAGAGGCAAAGAAAGTAAATGGGGTAGCAACATCATACCGGCTTCTCAGTTATTGCTTACGAGTGGTCCTACAAAAAAAGGTTGTTCACATTTTTTATTCAACTATTTTTTTAGGTGTATCATGTGATGAGAGGTATTCTTGTCTCCCGCAGGATCAGAATTCAGAATATCTAACACCAAGTTTCAAGTTTGATCTAATTCCTGCATGTCCCATTTCGATAACAACATGAACATGATAAAGAAGATTATATAATTATAAACTCTAGTGCTGGTTTTATATATGTGTAGAATTAAACGTGATAGGGATTTTTTTAATTATTAAATAAACTTAAAATAAAAATGGGAAGATAGCAACAGAGGTGTTTATGGATCGGATGACATGAGTTTTGACCGAGTCGAATCAAGGTTTGGACGTGATTTTTTAGATCTTAATTCAATTGGGGACAAATATTAGAAAGATAATTTTAATTGTGAAATTGATTTAAAATGTTAAAATATTGATAAAAAATATTTTTTATATTTTCGAATCGAACCTAAATAGAAATTTTAAAAGTATCATCACCTTAATCCGACCAAATTGCACACTTGTAGATAGCAGGTTAATAAGCGAATTTGACCTCGTCCATGTGAAAAAGATTTGTTTTCGTGTTCTTAAGTTCTGCGCATGGTTTTTTTGACTAGAATTAAAGAAAGTTGACACTCTAAAATTGGAACAATTGCACAACAACATGTGCTCTTTCTTAGGCCATACATGCACGTTTCAATGCCAACCAATCAGATAAAGAAAAAATGTGTGTGTATATATATATATATATATTTATATATATATATATATATATTGTGCAGATATCAGCGACTAATGAACTATCAAACAAAATTGCCAACTTTTGTTTTGTCGTTATTGAAATTATTTATTACCAAGGAGTTAGGTGTAGTTCTATGTTAAATAAACAAAATATATTGAAGGTACTCTGTTTCTTATCATAAGTCTGTTTAATTTAATAATATAAATTTTACAATTGAGTCAGTGGTTAACTTTTGGCTGTTCTTATTCTATTTTTTTACGTACCTATCGAATGAAATAGGACGCGTGGATCTGGCTCTAGTTATATAAAACATTTTTTTATGTCGAAGTTTTTTATATATATTACCATGGGGTTAGGTGTAGTTCTATATTAAATAAACAAAATCTATTGAACGTACTCTGTTTCTTTTCATGAGTCTGCTTAATTTAATATGATAAATTTTACAATTATTAGATTCAGTTGAGTTAATGGTTAACTTTTGGCTGTTCTTATTCAATTTTTTTGTTTACATGTCGAATGAAATAGGATGCATGGATCTGGCTCTAGTTATATAAAATATTTTTTTATATCGAAGTTATATATATATATATATATATATTAATAATACTAAAAAGAACCAGACCTGATAAATTTTGTCTACACATAAGAATTGGTTTCTTACTAATTAACATAGAAATTTAAAATAAATATAAATTAATTATATATAATTGTAAATTTACTTCAGAAATGGTGAGAATGATTAATTTATCTATTCATTTTATTGAATTAATTTGTCGACATCGTTCAGATCCAGTACATTATTTTCATTTTTAAATTTGGGTTATTTAACACATTTATAATCTCTTATATGTATCTCTATTACTAGAGTTTGTGAATATGTAAGGCTAAGTAGTTGGGATGAATAGATGGATATGAGAAGATTGATTATGATTGTTTAATTTAATTAAACTGTAAAAAATGAAAAAGTGCTTGATAAAAAAAAAAGATATTCAAGTATTTGATTGATTGATGCATTATTCTCTACAGCGATTTGATTCATTGATGCATTATTCTCTACAGCGTTCGAATTCTTCATCTTCCAATTATATAGAAAAATATTTAAAAATTATAATAAATAAAACAAGGAGCAGAAATAGACACAAGGACAACTCACAGTTCTCTCTGATCCTCAGCCTGATCCTGCTGACCAATCTTTATATAGTATTTTAGCCAATTGTCTTGAATCAGGCGATTTATTAACTTATTAGTAGTATTTATTTCTCGAATAGGATTGAGATTTAAGGCAGGAAAACCGCCACCAAGTATTTCATCTTTTTCGCATTGAATGAGTTCTTGGCCCCTGCCTACTTGATAAGCTTCAAGTTTCAACCATCCTTTGGTTTTTGTTTTTTGTGTTCAACTTCATGAAACTTTCTTTTGTCTAGCACATGAACCAGTAGTGCTACTCTTCCTTTCCATCTCTCTCTGTTTGGAGTTCCAGGCTGCGGCAAATTCTCGAGCCCTGGAGTCTACTTCCATCTAGTTCTGAAAGCTCTAAAGGCCATCGGTGTTTCCTGTAAGTTTTCGATCTCTCTAGCTATGATCACTTTACTCATGTTGCCCAAACATCATTTTTGTTCCACTGCATGATTCATTTTCCAATCAAGATCAAGCTTTCAAATCAAAATTTGATCAGTAAATCACTCACTTTTAACTGATACCGCTGGGAGGATCGATGCTTGAGTTTAAATCTTTGGGTGTTGTCTGGACGTCCTTTCTTTATACAAGAAAAAGGGAAGAAGGAACTTGATCAGCTAATACTATCGTCATCCTCCATCTTCGTCCCCGCCTTCTTTCCTTTCTTGATTGGATTTACCTTTTTCTTTTTCCTTGTAATTAGTAGCTTTAGAACTTCTGGGGGATGCAGGTTTGATTTATTAAGAATCAATAAAGCTTACAAGAAATCTTAGGTCCAACCCTACCTTTACAAACTATTGATGATATTGAAGGAAAAAGGGGCTAAGATGTTGATTCACGGGACAATCAAATTAAGGATAGAAACAGACCCAAAATGAGTTCTTGTTTTCTCTTGCATTGACCACAAGTATACACACACTTCTACTTCTTGTTTTGACCACACACGTACGTTCACACCTACATATATATATATATATATATATATATATATATATATATGGTTTTATTTTTGGTGGGATACACAATAAAATGATGATATTCTCTCAAGGAGCTTAAATTAGAATTTTAAAATTTTAACTACTGTCCCCTATTCAATTTTATTGGCCATTGTTCTTTCTACATGGCACTGCACTACTAGAATTAGTGCATGCATTTGTTCTTAGGAAACAATACAGGCAGGA